TTTGTTATAATGCAGTTTACACAACTGCGCAATTTTTCTTAGTCTGCCGTAAGGTACCAGAAGAGGGTTTAATTAATGAATTAACATATAATTGATTCAGGATATGTGATCCTGTCCCTCTCTGAACGCCCATAGCACATATTCACTGTACTCCTTGAGGACCCACTGACCATCTTCTACCAGGAATCTCTACAGTTTACAGAACTGTTTCATTGTCCCTATTCATATTCAGTGTTATCTCTGGAGGTACTCACAAATACTGAAGCAAATCTCGATTTGAACCCAGACTTTGCCATTTATTTTCTGTAGGACTTCAGGCAGATTACTCAATGTCTTGGAGCTCAGTTTCCACATATGAAAAGCAGGAAAAAATAATTTCTTATTTTAGGAGATTAAATTGAACGATGCATTAAAATATACAGCATTTAGCAGATTCTAGGCAAAAGTACATTTGTGTGAGTGAGTGAGTGAGTGAGTGAGTGAAACAAGAAGAATAAGCTTCAATATGAAAACATCATTCAACAATTTGAAACATATAAATGTCCAGAGTCATGCTCATAAATGAGTCTGACACTCCAAGCAGAACAATGGGTGAACTGTGAGAAATCCAACAGCAAAGGAAATTATGTTACCCAAATGTCATCTCAGACTTCCCACATTGAAAAACATCTTTTGTTTAACCTAGAACTTATGTACGGCCTTCAGAGGGTTGACAAATCTCATGAAATTACAGACAACGTCTTATGCAGATGTGCATTTTCCAACTATTTCATAGATTCAACTGAATTTCCAAATATTCCATAATCTCCCCTACCACTGAACACACACATATATATATACACACACAGACATTAATAACTACTGGCCCTTAGGCAAGTCCCATGACAGAAAGGGAATTGTCAGCAGAGAGAGAAAAAGTTTATTTAATAAAACAAGGCTGAAAGTTACAAGCGTGCAGTTGAGAAAGCACGGTCAGTGGAAGTTCTCATGATGAACACTCCAAACCAGAGAGAGCGGCTCTGAACTCAAGACTCAGCCTGGCTACAAAGTTGCTACAGGATCTTACCACACTCCCCCTCCTCCTCCCATCTCATAGATGGAGAAACTGAGGTTCAGAGGAAGGTCCTGTCTTCACCAAAGTCACTGCAAATTAAGTAGGATATGAACCTGAGACTCAGTAAAATGATTTCCATACTCTGTATGTCAGCATTATGAGGTATAAGGTAAATATTTAGACCCACTGGCCTCTAAGTTATCTTCTAACTGACGGATAATTACTACTCTCTTCTCTAAACTTGGAAATCTCATGAAAATATTAGTTTGGTTTTGGCAAAGTTCATTCCAGTTGCTTCTCAGGCCCAGGTAGTCCCACAAGAACGAGGCAGAGAAATGGTCTGCAAGAAGTAGAGATGTTGCTATTAATCTTGTGTAGGGCAGTGACTGGGAACCACAGGCCTTGAACTAGATTTCACTGTGCTGGCTATTACTCTCCTGTCCTCTTGCTTATTAATCCTGCATCTGTCTTCTCTTTATTAATGTTCCCAACTATGCACAATACACAGCCAGCTAGGAACTCATCCTTAGCTTCCTATACTTCGTTGGATCAGAAAAGGGCAAAAGGCGGGTGGAGCAAACAGTAGTGATATCAGGGTCAAGTAATCTCTTACAGGAAGAACCGCAGGGGAATCCAGTCTCCTAACAGACACAGAGAGCAGAAAGCAGCCAGAATCTTCTATTCTGTGCCTCACAGAGTGAAGGAAGATGCTTGACCTCCACCTATGTTTCAAGGACATCTCACATCCCTGTGTTGACAATGGAATTGGTTTTGCCTGAAAGAAAATGTCCCTTTAAATACTGGAAAGAGAAAGGACACATCACATGAAGAGCTTTATCTCCTAAAACAGAAATACAACTATGGAGTCCTCCCCAAAAAAGAATTCTAGTCCAGGATCTGCCACTAAAACCTTAGACCAATCAGATTCCCTCCCTGACCCCAAAACCTCCATCTCTGAAATGAAAGGATTTGGCTAGATTGGTTCTCAAAGTCTCCTCCACCCTTGACATTCTGATCTCTCCTTACAGGTCACCGACGCAGCCCTGAAAAAGTCAAATAATAGAAGAGGAACCTCTCAGTGTTACCAGTGGAGAAGTTTCCCAGATCTTCTAAAACTGAGACCCAGATTACAGAGCAGAGAAACACGGAGGAAGATGGATTTTTTTTCCCTTTCTAACCAGAAACTAAATGTTGCTGGAGGTAGGGACCAATCACTTCATAAATGTCCAATCATAGTGTATATATAATTCAAATCACTAACTGCCCTCCTGGTATGTACAAGAATCAAAAAACTAAAAAGACCAAGTATTTTCACACACTGGCTCAGTGGTAGAGTCACAGGATTCTCCTGTGACTTTGGGGAAATGGTAGCAGGAGGAAGAAAAGATTGGCCAAGAAGTAAAAACATAGATTATAGGACATTTGACTAGAAGTAATGCCATAACCAACAGGTCCAACTCTATCTGTTGTTAGATGCCAAAATGGACCCCAGAGAGGGAAAGTGACTTGTCCAAGGTGGCACAGCCAGAGCTGGGAGTAGAATTACATCCTCATGCTTCTGGTTCATAGAACATAACACATTGCTTCACTTCTGCAAAACTGGAGATTCGATCGAGGTAACCAAGAAAATAATTCCTCTTTTAACTACAGCCTCTGCCTCCACCTCAAAAAATACTAACTGACTTATTTAAGGCAGAATAGGAGTGTTTCCATCAAATAATAATAAACGATTCATTTGAGCTACATAGACAAGTCCAAAAGAATTACTTGGGCATTATTCATCCTTGCTAATGAACCACCCTATGGAAAACAGGGACAATCAACGGTCTACCCGAGGCCAGAAGCCTGGTCTTGCTCAAGTTCAGATCTTCCCCGTTCAAGAACACCGGGTATCAGCTCTAAATAGTAAACAGCGTATACAGTTTCAGATTCCATGAAGTACAGCTTTAAATAGATTTGGTTTGGAAGTGGGACAGGGAACACACCACAGTCAGTGGCTCAACGTTGAAAGCCGAGACAGACAATGATCACACTCATTAAGTGGGTACCTGTTGACACATGTACTGTCAAGTCTAATTATTTATTTAAACTGTTATTCTTTCTTCTTTACTGCCACTGATACCAGTTATTACCACAAGAGTATTTTAAATTTCTGTAGCCTGCGTTCAGAATATTTACTTCTCTGTCTTCCAAAGGTGATTTGAGTTTTTAATCCTTCTTGCCCCATGAAATACACTAAGGAAGGAAGGAAGGAAGGAAGGAAGGAAGGAAGGAAGGAAGGAAGGAAGGAAGGAAGGAAGGAAGGAAGGAAGGAAAGGAAAGAAAGAAGGAAAGAAAGGGCAATTCTCAAGGGCAATTTTTCATGACCTTTCAAATCTTGGTTAAACTCCAGTATATAGTTTTAAGATGGGTATCAGTGGCAAAGAGGACACAGTTAACCACTGTTCAAAATTTATTCTAATGATATTTAACAACTGGCATTTGGAGGAAAGCTAATATAATGACTGCAGTTTCTAAATGAACATATAGATCTCTGCCTCACAGAGCTACCCAAACCTACGATATCACACGTCTACAGTACATACTTTTTGATATGTTTATCTATGAAAATATATGAATACACAGGAAAGGAGTTTTTCCAGGACATTTTATGGACTGGAGAGGGACCAAAAGATGAGTTGGAGCCATTCCTGTATCTGTGGCTACCGTCTTGTTTTTAATAGACTTGTCTTCTGTAGGAATGAGAATAAAATTTAAACAACACAAGGGGCTGCTCTGATCTAATGATACGGGCATTTTACAGTCCATGTGTCCCTTCACCTACCTTGTTTGCACATGACCTGTTCTTATTCGATGTGTGTGGTGAGTATCAGCCTTGACGATCGTATGTAATGTGAAAATTTCCACTCATATTATAAATTGCTAACTCCTACAAATAATGGGGCAGGAGCAGCAAACCTAAATTCTTTCAAAGGTCTGTGTAAGTAAAATCATGTTGAAGATTATGGAAATAACATACCAAAGGGATAATATAAATATTCAGCCGAACAAATGTTTAAAGTCCTTTAAATGCTGGTATCAAATCTTCCACAGAGCTGCTATTCTATAAGGCCCGCAGTTAGGAACACTATACTGACCACTTCACCTCTTTTTGGCTATGACTTCTAGAAGATTATACAGAGCAGAGCAGAGCTAGCTGGGAAGTACAGATAACAGCTGGTTATCTGAAGAAGAAAACTCACATTTTGCAAATTTTACAACTATTATACTTTTTTTTTTAAACTAGTCTCTGTTTTCTTGACAAACTCATGAAGAATAAATTCTTCTGCCAAAGGCTTATTCCTTTATACTGGTTCCCCAGGAGCATGGTGTGCAGATGCTATGGGTCCTGGGGTTCAAAAGACTCTAGCTGCTTTTCTGTATTCTTAAAAGCTGTGTGTTGTTGTAGCCTTAGATTGTGTCTTTTTAAGATGTTTTTCTGGGCGGTTAAGAGACAGCAACCGACCTGACTAGTAAAGTTTGGCCCCTTCAGAGCCAGGTAACTCTGGCAGTACAGTGTGGTAAAAAATGCACTCAATCAAAGGCCAGGACACTGGAGAGAAAGCCCCCTGCCACATACTAGCCAGGGACACAAGACAGCAACAGACAAGAACATCCTAGGACATGGTGTATTATGAAAACTTAAATATTAGTTAGGTCTGAATCTTTGGTGTCGCCAGATGTTTGTGCTTTTGGTATGAAACCTTAAAAAGCTAGGAATTGAAAGGGAAATTAAATCAAGAAGACATAAAAGGGGGGACATTCACTGTTGTGGCCATTTTTCAGGTTTTGGTGCTCATGAAACAGCTTTGTATTTCTTCCGTTGGGAGTAGAGTTAGCCTTCAGCATTATTGGCTAAGATGCCTATTTGCACTTCATAAATGTGTTTATGCCAAGCCTCTCTTACCTTGGAGAGCAAGCTCTTGGAACGGTAGTGGACACGAGGTTCAGCAGACTGCAATGCTAGCCTGTAAATGAAACAGGTAAAAGTTACTCTTCGATTCTAAGCTTTGTTTATTCATCGATCATCATAAACTCATTTATCTGCATAGCAGTTTCTTGTTTTGCAGAACACTTCCATATCCATTATCTCATTTCACCCCATGACAACCTGGTGAAGAAAGAGATTATGCTTCTCACTTCATAGGTGAGGAAACAGAAGCTCACAGAGGGGTAAGGAGGATCAAAAGGGAACTAACTTCTCTCTCCTGATTAACTTCACAAACGTCCTGGGAAACGGGTATAATTGCCTTCATTTTAGAGATGTGAGAACTGAAGTTCAGACAAGGTAGGTAATGTGCCCAAGACTGCACAGTGCAGCACATGGCCAGGTGCAAGTTCGGACTCTCTGGGCTCCTCCTGTTCGTCCAGGGGCCTTTCCTTTATACCTCAGTCTCTCCTAGGATACGAGGTTGAGAAAACACAAGGATGAACAGCTCATGGACTTGATCTACTAGACTGAATGGAGGAGGGAATAATGGAATAAAACCAGCTATATGATGGACATGAGGGAGTAGGAAAAACACACGGGATTTAGAGCCAGTCAGACTTGTCTTCCTTAGGCAAGTTACTTAAACTCCGAGTGTCAATTTCCTTATACGTTAAGAGGCTTATAATATCCACTTCATAGTCAAACTTCAATTAACTTTTCTGGGAAGATTTTCCTCCATTATTTCACATCTATAGGTACAGACGGGATGGTATACAAAATGGTAACAATCTTCCTATGAGCCCACGCTTATATGATCAAAGAATGACACTCTAAGCACACAAAGCTAGAGGATATCTCTGGGTTGGGTATCTCCTTGATTCGTGCCCCGAGTTTTAAAATATCACACTGTTTATCTACGTTAATCTTAAATGGCCTCACCTAACAGCAGCACAAAGAACTTTGGTTCCAAGTGTCAAAGCCTCAAAATTTAAGAATTATATGACCCCACAACCCCAAAGAGCAAAAGAAACTGTTTTAGATGAAAGAGCTGCAGGTGTACCGCAGGGCACTCTAAAGTTTGTGCCTGGATCGTGCCTTAGGTTCAGAGAGACAGAGCTTCCAACAGGCCTGCAAGAACAAAGGGGTTTGTTTTAACATACAGATAGGTTTATTGAGAAGTAAAAGACCTCTGGGAAGCTTTATTAATATATCCCGTCTTCATACAGAACTGAAATCAGATTATGCATACGGCGTGGTTGATAGAATACTCTGCAAGAAGTTCTTTTCATATGCCACAAACATCAAAACATTAATCCTCTTTTGACATTATACTTTACAGTTTGAAAAATATCTCATGACCATTTCATCTCAAATCATCCTTGACATAACCCCAATGAAACCTTATTACCCCAATTTCACCAATCAGGAAACTAAACTTCAAAGATCACATGGTTAATATGGAGCAGATAAAAGTTTAACCCTGTACCCCGACCCCCAAACAAGCAAGGCCCCTTCTACTGCAGGAGATGCTCTAGTTAGAGGAAAAGGTGAAATGAGGATATACCCTACAGAAGTCCATTGTCAAGGCCCCAAAGCACATTTAGTACTGAGTCCTGCTTCACTGTTAAGTGAAAGCAGAGAGACTTCACATCTGTGGTCTAACCAGAAGGTGACACATTACTAAGCTGAGGGGTGCTCGAGGCAGGGTTACCATGAACACTTTCTCAGCTCTCCCCAGTGAAGTTTCAGAGCTGCAGCCTCCTTGGGCAAGCTATCGAAACGCAAGCCACAGAAAACAGAAGGCGGTACACTGAATTTTCGTGAAGGGGTCTGCATCAGTTAAGTTTCATCTCACGCTGTAGGAAAGCTGCAAAGTTCCAGCTAAGAAGCTCACCGGCCTCTTCTCACATGGTGGAGTGGCACAGGTCCTTAGTAACTTGACTATTTCCCAGTGCAACGGAGGTCTCTACTAGACCCAGAAAGACGTCTGGGACGACTGGCAAATCCCACTCTAAAGTCTCGGTAATGAAGCCAGTTATCTTTGGCTGCCTCCATGTATTTTATGACTGCTGACCCAGAACCTGGCAGGTCTGCATCCTTTATCCAATCACCCATCCTTTCCCAAGAAGAATGTTCTCATCTTCAGAAACAATTTCAACCAAAAATAAAGAAAACTGCATGTTCAAAGTCTAACTCACAAAATTTCAACCTATTAATTAGAATCTTTGCAAAAGCAAGACTCATTAGACCTAGCTGGGACTAGTACAAAATAATTGATAATTTCTACTATATGGGGCGGGGGGTTGGAAAGACAAATGAAGCCAAGAAGAAAAAGAGAGAGAAAGAATGGAAAGAAAGATGATGGGGAATAAGGAAAAAAGAAGAAAGGAATGGACGGACATGGGAAATGAAGAGAGCAGAGAGACCTGTTTCAATAGGTTTTTCACAAACCACGGTAACCTTTGATTTGACCACTGCACCCCAGGACAATTTTTAAGCAACATAATTCTAGGATGATGATCCTAACATTATGAACAAAAATCCCAGCCAACTGGCATGAGACTCACTAAGACCAACGTACAGATGTCCCTTAATGCTTGCCACTTTACAAGTGCTGCTGCGCAAAGGAGCAGCTGACAGAGCCCTGTAGAAACTTCCAAACTCTTCAGTCCTGTGGCCCCAGATGTTCTTTCTGAATAAGGGGGTGTTATCCTGAAAAGAACACTGGAATGGGGATTGAGAACCTAGGCTCTGGCTTTAGCACAATTCCCAAATCTTTTACATTAGAAGTTGTACGAAATATACATTTTTCTGTTTCTCTTTTCGTGGGTCAACATGGTTATTCCTAAACCACCATGAAAAGGCCAAGAATTATTTTGTCTAGCTTCTGTGTAATTTTGTCAAGTTTTATGGATCGATAAAGGTGATGGTGAGAGGATCACTTATAAATTGAATAATGTCTTAATCTTAAACATGATTATTAAGTAGTCTGACCCCAAAAGTAATTGAAATGTGAGATTAGGCCAAAGGCATTAAGTGACAAACATGGAACGGCCCTCACTCCCATCATCAAATACAGTGTGAAGAACATTTTTAAATGCATGCTCACCTGATACCCAAGACACTTATCAAGAATACAACATACCCCATGGCTTATGAACTATTTGGTTGTCTCATTAAAGTAATGTTTGCCAGTATTTAATTGCTTCCCTCCCTGATTTTAATTTCCTCACCTGTCAGCATCTATCAAAGACACTGAGATATTCTGACATCCTGGCTGATTGTGTTGAAATTAATCAGATTTTTAAGAAGTAAATTGCTTTGGCCTAAAGGTAATGCTCAACTTCTTCATGTGATATTTATAAGGGTTCTATCAATGGAACTTATAATCTAGAAATTAAATCAGAGGCTTTAGGAATCCTAAGCAGAAATCTTAAGTAGCTCACAAATTTCCAGCACTGGACTTCAGAAGATCAGTACTTAAAAAAAAAAAAATCAATCAATAAATGTTTATTGAATATATAGCACTTGCCAGCAGTCCCTACTGGGTAAACAGAAGAAAGTAAGGCATGAAGCCACCTCAGAAAGTTTGCAGAAACAAGAAAAATAAATTAAGCTGAACTTAGCTTAACAAAATAGCTGACAATCTGGTCACTCGAAAGGTACACTTTGTATTTACAACTGTGATACATTGCATATATTATGCTTCCACATGGACTAGTGATTTTACTCTTCACCTCAATCCAATGAGGCGAAAGTGGTATTATTGTTGGTAATAGTAGCAATATTCCCATTTGACAAGGGACAAAGCTGAGGCACAGACTGGAACAGGGACTTTTCTCTGATACCTGGTTATGGGCAGAGCTGGTCTTGTGATCTAAATAAAATCAGACAACACAGCAGTTATCACTTAGGAATAAAGAGAGAAAAAATTCTTTGCAAATCCTCAATACATAATTATTCAGTGCTAATTCTTGTGCTAATATCTATCAGTAACAGTGCTTAAGACATTCGCTTAGGAAACCCACAGGCAGTAAGCTGTTCTACAAGAGGTGAATGAATGATGGATAGAGGAAGACTTTGTAATGTGTCCTACCATCACGGGATTATTTTTATGTGTTTGTGTTATTGGTCCTACTTTGGAAAATAGAAATACGCACTCATACAGCACTTAGGTCCCAAAAGTTGGTTCTAAGGCCCCTAAACAGAAAACAGGGAGATGTTGCACGGATGCAATTCTGGGGAGTGGGGGCAGGGGAGTCAAGGGTAATGCATGGTACTTAGAGGCTGGCTCTATAACCAGACATAACTAAACCTTAGTATGGGTCTTATCTTTCCAGTGGACTCTGAGCTCCTTCTCAGCAATTAAACATCTCCTCTGCTGTGAAGCGTTTCGTGACCCAAAAAGATTGGGTGAAGAGGCCTTTCTGAAGATGGTCACAATGCCTAGTTCCACATCTAGATCACTAAAACTACTGCAACTGTTTTGTAACTTTTACTTGATTGGGTGTCTTGAAGAGAGAAACCTCGTCTAACTCAGGTTTTTTATTTCAAACCCCAAATCCAGAATCTGGTCCTTAGAAGGTTCTCAAGAAAATGTATATGGAATGGCTGCATGAACAAATGATAACAGTGTTCCCTGTCACTCCTGTAGCACTTAGCTCAATACATGCCAGGTAAGAAACACTTGGTAAATAGGTTAACCGAAATGAATTCATCAGTTCATTTAAAAAAACATATTGTTCAATTAAATGATTCTAAAATCTATTAAGTGAGTGGTGCGGTAACCTGCAATGGCCCAGCCATCATTAACCCACTAGAGGGGTGAAGAAGTGTCTTCCACAAAAAGGATTAAAAAGGCTGAACATATGAATAGAAATGTAGGCAGGAGCTGAGAAAATTCACATAGAGAAAAACCACACGCTAAGTGATATAAAATTAAAAAAAACAAAGGGGGAAACAAATCTAGGGGTAATGTGAATTTTTTAAGATTATAGGTATAAATAAAATCCAAATAGGAGAAAATGGAGAAAGAAA